ATTTTTAAGTCAATTACTGGGAATTTACGATAAAAATTATACAAATGGTTATTGTTGTACTTGTATCATATATTATTATTAGCTACTTATTTTCACATGGTAATGATCCATGGCATTTTGAATTACAAAGTTTGCCTGAAGAACGACAAGCACATTTATTATTTTTACATTTAGTTTTGCAGTGACATCGTTGGTATCCTTGGGTGCCTGAAATACTGCTCAAACCTGCTGCCTCTCGAAGAGTAAGCTCTTTTTCTTTGATGAACTAAGGTATGTCGAGAAGTTTTTCTTTACAAGGTACTAGCTCAGATCTTGTGTATTTATGTTTTAGGTGTCCATGTTCAGTACCTATATTAAAAGTATAACATTCATTTTTTGTAAATATTTGAATAGTTCTAGAATATTCGTTCTAGAATATTCGATACCTCGTCCTAAAACTGAACTTTATTATCGATTACTTATAACTTTAATCTTTAGGTATCAGATATCTTGCTCATAAACATATTTATAGATATTAAAAATCTACCTAATGTAAAACTGTGCAGCAGAAAAACATAAAAGTTGTTTTATAATTGAATTTTAGTATCATACATAACATTTACCAATTAGTTTGGTGAATATCGCAAATAACCGGCGAATATCGAAAATCTCCATTTTATATATATATTTACGATAATTACCGGTTAATTACGTTATTTTCATGTTGTACATCATTTACCGTAACATATATATATATATATAAATATGTATATTACAATAAATGTGTTTATCACGAAATCTTAGCTCTAATTTTCAAACATCCAGTTTGACATTTATACACTTGAGAAGGGCAGGTTTTTTTAATTTAAAACTTCTGTTTAAAAAATTAAGTATCCCTTTGAAGCATACAATTTTTGAGTTGTATGTAGTTTTATCTATAACACGAGCGTTTTTTTATTTGCTTTCCACTTGTGTATAAAATGTATTAACTAATAATGAATAAACCATGAAAAGAATTAGATTTTTCACAAGGGGTAAAGCATGTGTCCTTTCGGTTAACGCAATCTGGAATGGTAATAAAAGCTCAAAAAGTTTCTAGCAGCACTTCAACAGATTGAAAATCGATCATAGCAGTGCGGTAAAATAGATGAGAGTATACACCTAGAATTCTAGAATAAGTAATTTTTTGAATTTCTCAGAATAGTTTTTGAGAAAAACAAAAGAAAGTAATAAAACTCTATTATACTATAGATATTATAAATAATATATTATAAGATATGTACATCTTATTAGATTAGATGTAGGTACATTTTACAGAGTTAGGGTTTTATTAGAATACATTTTTATTTAAAGAATCATATGAACAAAATTATATTTAAATAATTCCTTAAAAAGTCATTTTTAGGCCTCGATGACCTGACCATTGGCTTGTTTTACATAATATGGTACTTAGATAGTTTAAATTAAATTTATTGTACAATAAAATGTCAAAAAAGTCATTCTATTATAAGTTCCAAGTTGCATCGAATATTTATTTAGATAAAAATTTGGCAGTTCTGACATAATATGTTAAGGTTCATCGTTTATGGTATCATAATCGTAAATACTATTTTATAAATTATAATAAACCATTTTTAATAATTGCTAGAGATATGATGTGATTTTTAGATGATAACAAGAACAACAATACCTATCTTATAATATTATGTACAATAATAAAATAATATTATGTACGTTATAATATTTTCATATTTTGCAAAGTAATCAAAACAATAATAATATTTTATGTACCTCGTATACCTACTTCAGCTTCACTATGGTAATTATATATTTATTTGAGTTCTGATTTAAAATATAAATGTCCATCTACAATATGATAAGTATAATTTAGATGATTGAAATCAATCGATTTTACATGTGCATGGTGACAATGACGGGCTGTTCATGATCCGATGTGTATGTATAATGTCTATCTTTTCTTTCACATTTCTTTGATTTTGGACAAACGTGAGTACATGACCGCCAAAACGCCATAGCACATTAAAAAGATTCCACCGCGGCACGACTTAAGTATATATGTATAAAATAAATATATTTATATTATATATAAATGCAAGCACGTCATGTAGACGAAGGACCAAAATCGTCCTAGTGAAGCACTGCAGAAAATGTTCTTCACCACATATCTATATTTAAAATATAATATTTAGCCATTTAGGTACATACAATTTCTAACAATATAGTAGGTTCTGTGGTGTATTACATTTAGACAGAGACTAGAAAGAGACAGACAGGGAGAGATGGATAGACGTGTATACAATCTCAAAAGTTCTTGGAACCGCCTGTATACTTTATATGATTATTTCAAACTTAATAATGTCCCAGGATATTTAGAGCAAGTAACAATGATTATTCTATTAATTAAATAATATGTTGCTGGTTTGAATTTATATTTATATTCTTTTATACTTTAACCCAACCTAACCATATTGAGTCGTTGAGTGTTGACTAAATAGTGGCTTCGGTATATTGTATTTATTTTAAAAGCTGCGTTAATACACATTTTAAAATTAAAATCGTATAATGATATGTACCACTGAATACTGTACTGCACTTCAATCACATAAATAAAAGACCACCTGCAGAACCCATTACCTACCTACTTTTTATGTTTTATTATAGAAATGTTTTTATTACTTATGCACATAGTAGATACAATTAAAGATGTAATCTATATTTGATATAATTTATGTTTTATATTATCATCTTAGTTAAGAAAAATTGACTGTTATACTATTAATTCTCTCATGTCGACACAATTGCTTTGCTTTTGAAATGAGAATTAAAGATAATTGTATTTAATTATATATTTCTTTTGTAATCTTGACAAAACTATGGTGTCATTAAAATTATTATTATTATTTAATAGATGAATATTTGTATTTACCTATGTATTTGAATATTTCTATACTTTATTTAAAAATACCTAAAAAAAATGCTATACTGCTCTACTGTTAATTAATGATAATTCAACTGATTTGTATTGCAAAAGATACGTAATATTCCATTGTGGCTTAAAAATAATTTCAATTTTACTGACAAAATAAATATTGTAACATTTTTTTAACATAATATGGTTTTGCCACTACATCCTCACAAAAAAACTATACAAAAACGAGTCTTGAAAAGTTTATAAAATTATACCTAGATAATATAAATAATAATATAGTTCGTAGGAAATTGTATTGTGCATAGAAAATAATAATAAATTGTAATAATACAATAATTTGTTAAGAAAAGTTTCAAGTCTCTAAGCAGCCACTATAAATATATTTTTTAATTATCATATAAAATTTCATTTAACCTAACAAAATTAAATATAATTACTTTTAGAGGAAAAACATATTATTGTGCCTTTGTTTTTCCATATTTTTTAATAACTGTACAAACAAATTTAGCGGATTCTTGTATTTAATTTTCAAGTTGTACCTATGTATCAATATTGAAAATGTCGAGTTTTTTAAATACAAAATAATTTTTAAAGTTTCATGATCTTAACTAATTTTGTCTTAACTCCTAACTGAAACTTGAAACACAAAATTGTAACCATTATTTATTTATATTTTTTAATTGAATTAGAAGAGCTAATAAAAAACCTTGTATAACAATTTCAAGCTTTTTGACCAAAATAAAAAAAATGTGAGACCATAAAATTGATAAATGAATACGTGTACCTGTTGATTTTAATTTATTTCAAGTTGAATATTTGTCACAAATTGTTTATTGAATTTAACTTGATGTAACTTAAGAATGGTTGTTTAAATAATTAACAGTAAACAAAAAACACAAGTTAACGAGGCATCTAAAGGCAAGATTACGAACTAAGTAAATGTTCTATCTTATTTTATTCTGTGATTTTAGTCTGTCGGCAAGATATGCCGAATATTAATAGTTGATATTACCAATACACCTTGACTTAAAATATAGTAAAGTTGTGCTCGCCACGATTTAAGATACAGCCATACAGGTACTTGAAGACGCTACACCAGCATGTGCAGCCGTGCAGGGTTGAACTAGCCCCAAAATATGTGCAGGGAAATTCTACTTTTGCTGGTTCCACTTTTTTTTACCAGCCTCTACTATATTTTTTTCTGGTTTTTTATCAACTTCAATTATTTAAAAATTCCATAAAAAAAGGATTGAAATAATATGGGAGACTCGAACTCGACACCTTAAACAAGTCTAATATAGCTGAAACAGCACAGCCGCTGTATTATTGCTGTGGCCCACCGCGGGGAAAATTCCCCGTGTCCCGGTAGTCCGACCCTGTTCATGTGTTGTCTCTGTCTTACGAATGTACAACAAAGCAAAAACTGTTTTGCGAGGGGGAGAACCTCACAGTATTTAGTCCCAGTAGAGACACCAAAAGTGTAATTACGCAATATAGAAGATACCTACTTAATATTTTTTGTGTCGTAGGTACCTAGCGTTTATATTTGTTTGATACCTACCTATCATTAATAAGAAAAAAGTTATAATACTTTAGTAAGAATTTGATATTTTTCAGTTTTCCAAATATAAATAATTTTTGATACCTATATTAAGAATATATATGGAAAAAAAACATTGATGGTTTAATAACAGTTTATTTTATTTAGAACAAAAAAAGATTCTCGTTCATTTTCTTAAGGAACCACCAAGGAATGAATTTTTTTTTAAAGGAACAAGGAACGGAAAGAATTCCTTTTCTTTTAAAAATAACGAGAAACGGAACCAATTACTTTTTATAAGGACTTGCAAACACTGATATATATAATATATAGTACCTAGTGCCTAGTGGCTAGTACTAGTAGTACTACATAGAAATCTGTGGTCTGTGCTTGACGAAAACCAATTTTCATCTTTCCAAGTTGTTATCAACTGTACGATAAGAGATAACAGTCCAGAGTCGTGAGTCATGGCTTATCAGTTATCTATGGATATTGGCATTTTAAAATATTTTACGTTTTGTATCATTCTACTTGAAAATTTATTAAAATAGTGTTTTCATTTTTATATTCCGGAATAATTAATACTATATACTAGACTTAACAAACGATATTATTCATAATTTTTGATTTATTTACAACAGAAATCACTATGGATCAGAAAGCATTCAATGAGGCTGTGAACGACACCATGGATTTATTGGACATGAACTATTCTGAGGCTTTAAAAGATACCATCAGTCAGTTCCAGCAATTGGTGCGTTTTATTAACGATTCGTTGGTCATAAAAATATAATTTTGTCATTCCAAAATTGTTTTAGGGAATGGACATGAGCGGAATAAAAATAGACATAGAAAAAGCCACAGATCCACTGCCATCATCACTTTTTAAATTAAAAACTTATTATGAAACATCTGTATGGGATGAATCGATAAAGGAACAGATTGTGAGTAATCTTTTGATTGTTGAAAACGAATGCAAGACACACGAAGGCCGCCATTTGTCCAAGTTGAGTGGTGCTTATAATATTGTGTGTGGATATCTAGAGAGGCTTGCTGAACTTGATGTTGATCAAAAAGCACAACTCATTAAGACATTTGATTCACTCCTTGGAGGTACTTTATGCATATTTGATAAATGTATTAAGGCTTACTGTGTAGTTTATGTGGGCCACCTTTCAATTATTGGTTGGGTATATGTAGATAAAATCTTTAAGGACATTAACAAGTAGAGGGACCCTAAACGTGTGTAATAATTACTAATGGTAATATTTTGTAGTCATTTTTATTTGTGTTCTTATGTTAATCTCAAATTTTAAATTACTTCTTTGTATTTTGTTTATATAATTACAACCGTGTTATAGGTGGACAAGTTGTGTATGGTAAAGCATTAGACATTATGGTTGAATTGTTGAAGAATACTAAAGATGAAAAAGTATTATTAGCTCTATTATCCTGGTTCAAAACAATTAGTGAACTTGAAGATGAAAGAGAGGTATCTATAATTAAAAATATTTTTAACAGCCTATAATATTTTATTTTTCAATAAACTATTGTTGTTAAACCAATAATATTATACTATTTTTTAATCATTTTGTTTTTATTAATATCTAAATGTATAAAATATTGAAAAAAGTGTTCTAATTTATATATAATTTTCTAGGAACTTCGAATTATTGGTATAGGCGATATTATGAAAGACATTTTACAATCAAATTCTTCAAATGAAGCTGTGATTATTGCAACTTGCCAATTGATTAGAGCCCAGCTACGTGAAGATAATTGTAGTGGAGATTTTTCTAATGCAGGGGAACGATCACGACTTTTTGGTTGTGAACTAATGTTACCTCTACTTCAGTTGTTAAAAGGTCAGTTAAACATTTAACTATATTCAAAATGTATTTTTATTATTATTATGGAAGAGTGAAAAAAATTATAACTATTTATTCAGATTACAATGGTGTAATAAATTATATTGCAAATAAGTTTGTAGTTTATCCAGTATGTTCAAAGCAAAAAGAAAACATAGTTAAAATCTATTGATCCATCTATATGATTCAAACTTGTTTTGTTTCTAATTACCTATTTAAAAATTGTATTTTGTACTAACTATAAACTTACATATTATTAAATAATTAATTACAACCTTATATTTTTTATTTATTTCAGATGATAAAATAATTGAATTGGAAGAAGTAACTAGTGAAATATTCTTTACCTTAGCTACAATTATTGTTCGTTTCGAATTTTGTCGGAAATTCAATGAATGTGGAGGTTTATTGAGACTTAAATTAGCCATGGACCGTCATTGCACAATGGTACATATTCTCATTGAGTATCCTACTATCCTATACTCAATAATATAACAATGATAATAAAAAAAAATATGCATATATTTTATGTAACAAAGTGTAATCTGTTCTTAATATTATTTATAGAGATTGAATTGTCAGGCTTTTAAACTTCTTAAATCACTAGCTGGTGATGATATTGTAAAAGACGATATCAGAAAAGTAGGATTTTGTCCACTCATACTATCAGCCTTACAAAGACATATAGTGAGTAAACTTCTTTGATGGAAAGCTTTAAATTAATGAATACAACTTAAATAACTCACTCTTTTCTAGAACAACAAACAACTGTGTATTGATGCAATGAAGTTATTGACAGCTTTGACATTGCGTTCTCCACAAAACAGTGCTGAATTGACCCAACTAGGTATTGCAGAACTTATTGTTCAAGCAATGAAAGTGCATTCGAATGATGACAAACATCAGGTATTTCATGAAATATATTTGATTTACTTATTTCGTATTGAGTCTAGGAAGAGTGTTTATCAACAAAGCCAAATATTTAAAATAATTTAATAATTATGGACTAAGCCCATTTGTAACTGGAATCAAAAATTATTTAAATGTTATACTAACTAAAGTTGTCACAATAATTAATAATAAAATAAAATACATAGTGTGCTTTTACCTTATTTTACTTAATACTTAATGGCGCTATCATTTTCATTTTTAATATTCAAGATTGATAATATATTAAAAGATGTCCATTTTCAGTTATGTGTTTTGCCTTAAATATCATATATCAGACTATAAATCCTATTTGACCTATATTTAGGTCCTCACTTATATTTTTTGTAATCATTAAAATTCAAATATTATATTCTTATATATTATAATTTATAATTTGCTTATGTTAAATAATAATAATTATAATATGTTGGTGTTTATTTTACAGAAACATGCCTGTACAGCTGTTCGCAATATAGTTTCAAGGAACCGTGAACTAGCCTCAGAGTTTTTGGCGCAAAATATTGAAAGCATAATTGAAAAAATAATAAGTCAATATAAAAATTGTGAATTTGAAGCTAAAAGTGCTTTACGAGATCTGGGCTTGGATGTTAACTTTGTAGAACAATGGACGGGTGCTGGGCAGAATTTATCATCGTAAAAATTATGTTGAAGTTAAAAACCACTGTTCCAATTCTAATAATTATTAATTAACGTGGATTTTTCCCCACATTAATCACAATAACTTTACTAATTTTTGTTACTTTTATATTGTTTATAATAAATAATTATTACACTAAAATAATATACTATATTTTGCTTTACGCTTATCATATAACTTATGTATGATAATTGTAATTTATTATATGTCAGAGTTGAGTAAATTAACTAGTATCTAACTCTATTGAGAATGAATTTAAACAATAGTCAAGAAGCTCTCAATAATATACCTATACATTAATTAAATATACTTAGTAATAATACTTTCACAAAATTGTGTTCACAATTTAAATCTATTTCATCAATTTTTTTTTTATTTGAATCTCAGCCATTTGTGTCAGTATAGCGTTTATAATATTGCCATAATGTTCTATGTTACATTTCAACCACTTTGTTTGCTTATTATGTACAAATATACTATAAACTTCATGATTTTCAATTTATGAACACACTTGCAGTCACAAATTATAGTATGTATTTTGTATAAGCAATACATATTTCTATAACGTATAATGGTTAGATAAGGTTTTTCGTGTTTTTTTTAAACACAGGCTGTGCTGTTGCAGTATAAATGACATTAAAAACTTAATTCCTAAATATGACTATCAGTGAAAAAAAGTTAAATAAAATAAAAGAGTGCCCCATCTAATTCGTTGAATATATTTCATATTATGATGAGTCTGTTATGGTGATTTTACCAACTTTGTAAGGGTGAATAATATGAATGACTCATTACTAAAAGATTACTGAAAGTCTCAAATACCCATTAATAATATGTTTTAATTACAACAAAATAACTAGAATCGTTATTCTTGATTTTAATATATAATTTTATCGAAATTTGAACTTAAAATATCTATAGAAAATTTTATTGAAAATTTTGTATGTTTATAACCAACTCAAAACGAGTCATTGTTTTTAAAATGTCATGAGTAAAAAATTATAAAATAAATGGACGCCTCTTTATTATTAAATAGAAAATATTTTATGTGGAACATTTGATGAAAATTTCAAGTATCCGCGGATAATAGTTTTCGAATAACAATAAAAGAAGAATACTGTTGTATGAGAATTTGTTAATTTATGGGTTTTTAAAGTAAATAAATAAAATATAACAAGTATATAATGTGTAATACAAAACATTTGTTAAAAATTAATTTGACTTCCGGGTAATTTTTTTTTGTTTAATGTAGAAAAACCTAAAAAGAATTATGAGTGTTCAAATCTCGGATATACACATACAATTTTTTAAAAATTTTTAACTCAAAATAATTTGTCAATTTTCATATTTTTAATGAATTTTGTCAACATATTAACTTCAGAAGATCATAAAAAATGATAATGGACTTGAGTCACCCTCAACTTTTTTTTTATGTCTATCAACAACAGCTTATGAGGAAATGCAATACATTTTAAATTTTTTCACAAATGAAAATTTTTTTATCAACAATAATTAAAACTTGAAATTGTCTTATGGCTAAAAATAACTTAAAAAAAGGAAACATTTCGAAAATTATATGGTGCATAGAAATTGCTATTTTAAACATTCAATGAAAATGTCATGTACTTACAGTTGATCAACAGATAGAGTTTCAAGAAAAAACAAAATCAAGTGTAGATAGCTCAGATTAAGTTGATAGTTTGAGAGTAAAAATGTTCTATAAATGACTATAGAGATCAAAAGAGAGATAACTTGCATGAGGAAATAAAAAAAAATTAAAATTGAATATTTGTAAGAACTTTAATAGTTAGATATAATGGAATTTTTACAGAAATATTGTGTTTTGATGGTTTACTCCAAATTGATTTATTGGTTTTTATTTATATGACCTGTTTTTCCAAAATTTTCTTTTTGGTTCTTCAGCATTTGATTTGCGTTCACATCATTCATTCGACCTATATTGGGCTTTTTTAAGGAATCACTGGAATCACTATTTACAGCTTGGTACTGTTTCTGTTCAGGAGAATATTGTTGAAGAGGGGGTGATTGACCTTGTTGCTGTTGCGGTTGAGTATCTTTAGATTTTTGTTCTGTTTGAGCTGGTTGCTGAGGAACTGCATTTAGAGAAACCGTTTGGTGTTGTTGCTGTTGCTGTTGTTGGTGTTGTTGTTGTTGGAGTTGTTGTTGCTGTTGTTGTGGCTGCTGATGTTGAGGCTGCTGAAGTTGTGGCTGCTGATGTTGAGGCTGCTGATATTGAGGCGGCTGATGTTGTGGTTGCTGATATTGTGGTAACTGTTGTTGATTCGGTGGGTGCTGTTGCTGGAATTGTTGGTGCTGTTGGTTCATTTGTTGTTGCCCCACATATGGCTCTTGAGGATATCCCATTTGTTGAGGCTGATGATAATTAGGATGCATTTGATAAGCTGGTCCGTGATTCAATGAAGGTTTTGGGATATCCTAAAAAAATGTTTGTTTATGTTTATACAGTAATTTAAATATATTGACCCAATCAATATTTTAACTTGATATTTATATTTTTACAAATATATACTTAAAAGTTAAATGATAGTTCTATCAATTAGCACTATTCCTGAACCATAGACCAAGGTGAACACAAAAACTGTGATGATTATAATGCATAAGCATAACATATAAAATCAAACTACTAATAAACATCAGTAATCTGAATTATCTACTTACAAATGAAATATGTTTCTAGTTATATTCAATCATTTTATACCTAATTATAAAACTATGAAACTAGTACAATTATAATAAAAAATGAAGTCAAAATATTGATTAGGACTATAATAAGAGCTCAAGGCACAAAAAATAATTCATTTTCATTTGAAAGAATGTTTAATTCTAAGAAAAATAGTGTAAGTTTTCACTTACATTATCCAATAAATTATAAGGAATTTAATAAAATGCTGTTCAGTATTATTGGGCACCGCTCGCAGTATTTATTATTTATATATTGTATTTTACATATTTAAGGTATTATAAGTATAAAATTTGCTCACTTCACACAATAATTTAATTACCTTAAAAGTGTATTTTTGAATTTTTGTTGTATGTAAGTGATGTTTTTTATACATTACAGATGTAAGTGAGACCAGAATTTGATAAAATGTTTAATTTTTTTTTTAAGTACTTAAAATAGTACAAAAAATAATTGTTGTTAAAAACACCTCTGTAACCACACTCGGTACTACAGCTATCACCTATGGCACAACCAGCCATTATCTCTTTTAAAATTTTCAATATTTAAAAAAACTAAATGTTTTATTAAAATTATAATACTTCTATCGTCTTTAGCATACAAATTTAAACATTAATACTTAAATCAAACATAAAAAAAATGTTAAGGTTAAATCATTGAGTAAAGTGAGCAACTTTGTAAGTTAAACAATTATATCGAGCCCAACCCAATGACATCATCTGGCCTTTCTAAATACTCTAATATATTTTTAAATATATTTTTTTACGTCAAATTTCAACTAAATTGAAATAATTATATATATATTAATATCTAATATTTAATAATTTGAGAAAAAACAGTTTGTGCTGTGTTTTCTTTAAAAAGAACTTAGTCTTTCTGCTCCACATTACATATTTGGAAATTATACGTTTTCTACATACTCACATATTTATAAAACAAAGTATATATAATTTTATATTTTCAATAAAACTAGTTTAGGAAATTGAAAATTTTCAATAAGACTTGGGAATTGGGGTATTTTTCTAAATAGTAATTCATCTGTAATTTATTTGAACACTTATATTACAAAATGCACTTACTGGGTGATGTTGATAATATTCTGGAGGATATTGAGGAATCTAAAATAATACATAGTTTGGCATAATTAATCAAATACCAAAAGTGAAGAAATATTTTTATTAATATACAATGTTGTTAGCAAAGTTTATACTAACTTGACCATTTTGAATCATCTGATCAATTTGTTGTTGCCTTTGATTTTCAAATTGCTTAAGCTCATCATTAGTATAGATTTCATTTTGATCAATAGTTTTCCACCCTTCATCTTTTTCAAAATTAGGTTGTTCCGACATACGCTTAAATTCTTCCCAGCTGATTAGTCTATCTCTATTTAAATCGACCTCATTAAAAACATGTTCACGCATACGTTCCATTTCTTCAGCTTTTTCCATTAGATCTGATTTTGCCATACCTTGTTGATAAAGCTTATCCAGCTCCCGTACAAATAATGCTTTTAATTCTTCTTCATCCCAAAATCCATTACCATCAATGTCTATTACAAAATAAATACAATAATATTTCAACTTTTTGTAATTACAAAAATATGCTGAATTCTATTAAATGTAATCAAAAGAATTTTTTTAACCAGTTAAATAAAAAAATATATACGAGCTGCTTATAGTTACATTTATGATTATCAAAAACTAAATTAAAATAGAATTAAAGTAAATTAAAAAGCAAATTAATTGATAAGTGATTTTTTATAAAAGAAAAAATTCTCTTATCATCAACTTTGAGAGAGGCTCCTGAAATCTGGATCTAGTTGGTACATTTAGGTCAAAATTAAAAACTGAATATTTTTAAAATAATTGGAAAAACAAAAAATAAGTTTAAATTTGTCGCTTTCTGACCATTCCTTCCATCTTCATGTACAAACAAATATTCCTAACAATTTAAAAAGAAGGTTACACATTTTAATTATTATTTAATTTTTACCATGCATTGCAAAAAATGTACGAGGATTAAAAGTTTCTCCTTCCATTTCATCTTGTTTTTCCCAAACTTCTTCAAGTTGTTTTTTGCTTCCTGGGTGATGAATCTGATAAATTTTTTTTTTTAAATTTTTATTAGTAACTACTTAAGATTTCTAAAAATTGTGTATTCAATTCATACTGGATCAAGTTTATGCTTGACTTCTCTTTCAGATTCTAATTTTGTTTCTTCTGACAAGAATTTTTGACGTTCTTCATCAGTCATTTGCTTCAATTTTTGTTCTCTTTCAAAATGTTTTTGCATTTCATATTCTTTAAACATTTGTTTACGTTTCAGATCAGCATCTGCCAGATCTTTAGCAACCTAATCCAAGTAGAATTAACAAAATAATAATAATATCAGCAAATACATTTTAATTTCACTATACCTGTTGTATAAGTTTCAAAAGATCATTCTTTTCAAAACTGTGTGGATTTTGGTGATCAACATGTCCAGGATCAGAAGAATCACTATAAGCTTTTCTTGCTATATCACGTAATCTATTTAGTTCTTGGCGTTTAAGTTCATCTAATTTTGATCGAATATGGTGCCCAACATATTCTAATTCATCAGCAATTTTACCAGTCTAAAAAATAAGATTAAAAATATAAATTATACATAAGCTTAGGACATAATGTTTGATTTTTATTTGTTTTTTCCATAACAGGTTATTGTATCTGAAGGCAATATCTATAACAGACATATTTTTACATTTTATAACATAGTGCATACCCTAATATCTGCTTCATCAGCAGTTTCAAGTTTTTTTCTGAATTCTTCATCTTTTTCTAAGGTTTCCACAACTTCTCTTAAATAACGGTTGTATTCAATACCTAAATCAACCTATAAATTATTAGATTAAATATTAGAAAATACACATAATATCATGAATATATAGGTACTTATATTATTAATGTTTACATGTTGTAAACCTTTGCTTTCTTACCCTTATAATTCAACATATTACCTATTGTAATTATTTTTCTACATTCACACCAACTAAATTCTACTACAAACAACAATTACATTAAGTTCATTTCAATGATTTGATAAAATAATAATTAAGACTATCCATACAGGATAAAATTATTCTCAATAAGCAAGATTAATTTTTTTTTTTTTAATTTAATAGTTTATGACCTGTTTTAGAAGAGAATATACCAGTTTTGCGTAAAAAAAAACTGGTTTTGACTGTGGCGCCTGGTATGTTCTCTTTTTTAACAGGGTATAGTTTAAAGTTAAATGTATTCATTTTACACGATAAAAATAAGTTATTTACTTGGTTACTTATGATACATACATGTCTCTTAGTATTAAAAATATAGTAATTTAAGTTACTGATTATGACAGAATTATATTTTTGATGTTAACGATAAACATAGTATCAAATGTAGGTAAGTCATAATAATAAGTATATATTCTTAATGTAAAATGTTATAGAAAATTCCTATAGATCATATCTGCTGCTTAACAATAAATGATATTTTAAAATGCATTCATACTAATGTTTTTTCATCAGGTGGTGGTTGATGACTCTTTTGGGTGTTATCTTGTTCATCTTTTACAATATGTTCAAATTCCTGGTCAGATAAACGGACTGTTGGTCTAGTGCTAACAACATATGCTGGCGGAGCACTAACAGCATAGTTAACCATATAAATCACAAATGTAAATAACACCCATAATATGGAGTTCATGTTTATTATGAGTTACTGTTAAAAAATAATATAACAAAAATTAAATTATACAATTTGAATTAGATATTTAACAATACAAAAATTGGAGTTCATTAATTGTGTGCACTAAACTAGTTACCCTTGAAGAAAGAATTACAGTTCCATGATTTTTGGGTTGTAATATAACACATAAGAATCAAAAGTAACAATATAAGTAATATTACAGAAAAAACTTACCTTAGAGAGCAGTTCAGTTTTGTATTAATGATTACGTTATATGCCCTAAATGGCTAAAAAGTAAGTAGCGATATGTAAACAAAATAAAATGTAATCGTTAACACATACTAAAATTGTCTTACATAATTTACATTTTTATTTCTTAGTTATGACTTATGAATTTTATCATTATCAGTTATTTCTTATTATTGTTATTATCTTTATTGCAGTGGAGTAAATCATAATCACAGATATATAGAATAAACTAGATTGCTAACTGTGATAAGACTTGAAGTCACCATCCGCCATTTAAAAAGAGGCCAATGGGTCTTATCACACGTATTTAATATTGATAATAAATAAATTTATTTTGGCGCTAAAATCATATTTTGTTTTTCACTTTCTACAAATTTGACAATTTTGTGAATTAATTTATTTTAATTATGCCTTACAAATGTTGTGCCTATGGTTGCAATAATCGAGATGGTCTTGGAAAAAACATAAAGTTATTCCCGGTATAATGTGTAAAATTATTTATTATACCTATTACCTATCCCTTATTTGCCCTAAAATTATGTGTTCAAGATTTCCTGATGACGACAATAGGAAAAAAGAATGGTTGGATCTTGTTCATCTGACTTATTTTCAAGACCTCATAAAATAGAAATAATAAATCACATAACAAGAACATACCTCAATATACGGTTGCATGCTTATAGCAAAATCATGACGTCTTCCATTTTAAAAACAGTTAGTAAGAGGCAAAAGCTAACAAAGACTGTTTTATTTTATAATATGTGACTTTTGAATATAATATATTATACCTACAATTCTTGTAATACTTTTTATTGTTTTATTAATTATTATTATTGTATTGGAATACTGAATTTAATTAATAATATCATTATGTTAAAGTTTTTTAGTGTTAAACTATATTTTGGTTAGACCTTAGACGTTAAATTATGATTATAGTTTATTAATTTATTATTTTCAATTTTAGAAAATGATAATTATTATTACAAAATAAAAATCAGTACGACTCTACGTATTACGTTATCTTTTGAACACAAGTGATAACGAACATTGGCCTCGTTTAAAATGGCGGCCGATGACTTCAACCAATTACACAGACGCTGTATCACAGTTAGCAATCTAGTTTATTCTATATATCTGTGATCATAATCAATTGTATTCAATTTGTAAACCTCATACCTGTATCTATTCTGTGCTCATACCATGAAGGCTAAAGATAAGGAGGTCAAACTCTACCGAATAGAACGTCCCGAAAAATATCGCACACTAATTTCTCCACCAGTCTGCGTGGCGGTCAAATCCGAGGCTGGCTCGGATTGTAATTAACCCGTATTAGATAGAGACATACTCAACTTTATTACCTTTAAAAAATTATAATTAGAAAACTAAAAATCGTATTTGAATTATAATTACACCATCGTATTCAGCCGACATATTTTGTCTTTAAGAATAAATTACCAAAATAATATTAGTGTTTAATATCATAGTAACATCATCCAGTGGCGGAACTACGATCATCGAGGCCCGTGGATACAATATTTTTGGAGGCCCTATATCTGTAATATCTATTTCTAAACATTGGGCTGTTTATTTGTATGCAATAAAAAAAAAATATATATATGGTAAATTAATAATTTATTGAATTATAATTTCGGAAACAGTAATTATAATTTTTTATTTACATTGAAAATGATTTTTTTCTGCTACGGTCTTGAGCAAACGTCTTCACCAATAACGATAAGTTCAATTTTTTAGCACGCTCATTTTCTATTGAAATCATCGCAAGACCACTAAGCCGTGTTTGGGACATTGTGCTTCTTAGATAATTTTTAATTAGTTTAAGTTTTGAGAATGTCCTTTCTGCACTCGCCACAGTAACCGGTAATGTAAGGAACAAGTAAAATGCCGTTAATAAGTCAGGGAAACTAGTAATTAAATTATTATTTTCAATTATTAATAATTTAGTCATATCAAAAACGCTGTTACAAGACTTAAGTTCAGAAGCAAACAGACACTTTAATGACTCAATTTGTGAGGCAAGTTCTGCTGGATTAAAGTCCTGAAATTCATCAGCCAACTTTTTTGTACCCTCACTGATCTCGTCATCTGATATTGTAGGCAGTCTTAAAATACAACTAAATAAATTACTTATTTCACTTAGACCTTCAAATCTTGTTTTCAATTGTGTAACTACAGTGTCGATACAGCGATATAAAACTTGCGTTTCAAAATAACGGTTTCCTTGTGAAAGACGTTGATCTTGACATAGCTCACCATAAAATTGTTTTACTTTTCTCGTTCGTTTACAAGAAAACTCCGGTTTTACATTCCACTGTAACGCTTTAGAATCTGCTTCCTCTATCAAATTATTAAAGTTATCACGGATTTTCAACATATTTTCCATTGTGTTTTTTATCAAATCAGCAGCCTTTCCAATATCAGCTCCAGGTGATTGAAGTATTTTGGATGCTAAATTAATTTTTGACAATATTTTATACATCACAAGGATTAAAATAATTGTTTCATACCTTTGGAAATATTTTTTGAGTGTGGAGGCTTCGTTTTGTTCATCCTTATTACGCCCAGTCAATGTTATGTTGTTTAAAACTTTCATAACGTCTGGGTACATATGATTGAGTGATATTAAACAATCAATTCTAGACGACCATCGTGTAGGGCACAGCCTTTTAAGTGATCTAGAAATGTCACTGCTTTCTTTTTTCAACATTGACCATCGAAGTATACTGTTTCCAAAAAAAGTATATAAGGTTTCTAACATCTCAAAAAATTGTCTAATTTCGACAATGTTTTTAACAGAATCGTTTACCACCAAGTTTAAATTATGCGACGCACAGTGAACATATTTGGCTTTTTGTTGTCGTTTCCGAAGTCGAGCCTGCAAGCCATTATGTTTGCCACTCATACTTGCTGCGCCGTCTAATCCAATTCCTCTAAATTTACCAATATCAAGACCATTCTCTTTAAATATCTCAATAGTCTGTTTTTCTATTGCTTCACCCGTACTTCCTTCTGCTTCGGAAAATCCAATGAAATCTTCTTTTATTTCAATACTTTTAGGAATTCCTAGTTCATCTTTTTCTATATGCACGTACCGATATATCGTAGAAACTTGGTCGACCTTGCTCACATCTTGTGTTGAATCTAGAATTAAGGAAAAAAATGGCGCAGAAGAAACATCAGATATTATATTTTTTTTTATTTCACTTTCAACTAATGCGATTATTTGATTTTGAACTTGATGGCTCAGATATTTTACGCTTCTCTTTGGTTTTTCTAGAAGTGTAGCCAATATTGGATCATATTTAGTTAGAAGTTTTAATATAGCCATAAAATTTCCAGGATTTTTTAAGTTGGCATCTTCTCTGTGACCCCTGAAAGATAAATTTTGGCCACCTAGTGTGATAGTTACATCTATTATACGCTTTAAAACTGCGGTCCAATATTCAGCTTCAGAATCTTCTTGCTTCTTTATTTGACTGTCTATACTTAAATTTTTAGAATACATATTATAAGCTTTACATGACACAAGATGAAATGTAGAACTTTCATGACGGCTAATATCAATTGTTATGTGATCCCAGTCATAAAAACCTTCAATCCATGATGTTTGTTTGTTTTTTAATCTATTCCCGAACAGAGTACATGGCTGGCAATATGCCACTTGGCGAATAATTGAATAACATAACCAGAGTCTAATTGTCTTTCCACCTGGCACTGATGACCCAGAATAATAATATTTTTCATTAAACGTTAAATTAGATACGCGATTATTTAATGAATCTGAATATCTATAAAATGGTCCTTTGGGTTGACATGATCCATATTCAACAATAAACTTTTTCAACTCATCTGATAACGTTAGATGGTTAAAATGGCCAATATCAGTAGGATTTGGTAATGCTAGAAGCTTAGTGAAGAAATCTAAATTTGAAATATTGCCATTTGGGGAAAAAGAAGAAGAGGTGGATGGTATTTCTTCTAAAATATTACCTGAGATAATTCTTTAGTTCGCGTTTTCACAAATTGTAATTAGATTTAATAATACCTATGTCAATTAAAGTAAATCATCAATTAGATATTTTTAGTCTTGATCATACAATCAAAACGATTGTTCTTTTTTTAAATTTTAAATTAATGCATTTATAATAGTATTTAATAAGGTTCCTAATATTTTTCTGGCCGATACAAAATCTACAAAACATCGTTACGGTAGATTTGACTAGTATAAATTATTTTTGTAACTCGAAAATTATTTTCACGTATTGATGACTACCCACTAGCTAAGCTACCTTGAAGCAATGGTGGGCATTAACTTGTTAAAAAGTTAAAGTTAAGTTAAAAAGTTAATTTTTTTTTAACTTTTTAACTTAACTAGTTAGTTTTTTTTGTTTTTAACTTATTAACTTATTCAGTTAAATTTTGTATTGTTTTAACTTAACTTTTTAAAGTTAATTATCATTATTGTACAGTTAAGTTAATTAATTTTTTTTTTTATCATGTGGAACCAAGAGACAAAACTTATTCTTTCTATTTTTGCATTTTGGTTAATTTATTTTTCTAATAATATAATATCATCAATTCATAATAATCAAATTATATTATAATCTATAGGTAGTATAGTAAAGACTAAAGAGTAATAATTAGTATACTATCCTTGTATCGACTGGCTATTTTCACGAATTCTATTATTTAATGATTTAATATTATTTAATGGTATTGAATAATCCGATTTTTGTTTAATCTAACTCTCCAATTCCTAAAAACAGGTTTAAAACTAAATATCATAGTCTTTGAATGGATATCATTATATCAATAATATATACTGGTTACTGGTAAATACGACAATTCCAATAGACAAAACAAAAAGTCGTCCGAGATATTTATAAATTATAATTTATATTGCCGTATTCGTTATAAATACAAATAAACGTATGAGATTAGAAAATAACATTATCGAAATAAATATGGAAACAATTTTTGGTAGGTATTATACTATTATCATTATTCATTGATTTTATTTTAATAATAGACTATTATAATGGTACTAAATGACAAATATTTAAAAACAGCCTATACCTACCGGCATAATATACAATTGTCAATTGATAAGAAATATAAATAATATTGAAAAATTGATATTAAACTATAATATTCATTAATCATTTGTGATTAGTGATTACTTATTAGTGATTATTGATTAGTCTATTCAGTGTTCTAATTTTTCGGCGTTTGTGTATTAGGCTATTTCTCGTCGGATTATAGGCATAGAATATTAAAATATATATTAAATCGTATATAATAATAAATTATACTCATCAACTGACAACTACTGTTAACTATGTCAGTCAATAATGATGTTCAAATTGAAAAATGGTCATGTATCAATTCTTTTTTTCAACAACTCTTCGATATTAAAGCTAAAAGTGAGACTGGTCTTTCATTTAAATGTTTGTTATGTTTACCTAAACAGAAAATTGTATCTGCATCTCAATCATCCAATGCAAACCTCAGAACTCATATTAAGGTAGGTAATTATGGTTATTATTATTATTTTTACATTTAATGCTAAGGGTAAGTCTACAGACCAGTATTTAACATAGAAGTGCAAAATAGTATTAATAAATCAATGAATGTAATTATTTGACTATATTTTATTAATTAAAAAAACTATAGGTACCTAAATTTATTTTATTTTAGCTTGTGCATTCTCATCGTTTGAATGATTTCAATATAGCATTTAAGAAAAGAAATTGTGATGATATTAGTACTTCAAAACACTCCAAGCAATTGAAACTCAGGGAAGTTGGACATAATTCTGTTAAAAAATTAACACAAACTGAGTTCAATAATGCAAATTTAAAACTTATTATCAACACAGTATCACCATTTTCCCTTATAGAACACCCAGCTTTCATAGATTATTGTAAATTAACATCATCAAAAATACCAGTATCTAGAAGAACATTAATGCGAGACGTAGAAATTCTATTCAATAGTTTAATTGAAGAATTAAAAATGGAGTTAAATACAGTGCAATATGTTTGCTTAACAGCAGATTGTTGGACAGTTTTTCACAAGTAAGTTAAATACATTTTTAGACTTTAACTCCTTAATAATTAATATTATATTTTAATGCTACTCACTTAGTTAATTAGCTTTATAATAGTATCTATAATCTATAATGTGACATATTATAAATGTGTGTGCCTATAAATTATTAAAAATTATTAATAAAATAAAATAATTATTTATTGAAAGTAGGTACTATTAATGTGCTAGTTAAACTATAGAGAAATTAACTAGTTTTATTAAATATGCTAAATGCTTATGCTTATTAAAATTTAAAGGGCTTATATTGGTGTAACTGTTTAAAAAACGTTAAAAAGTTTAGTATGATTTAAAGTTTATAAGTTTCTGCTAACAATGAAATATAATAATAATTTTAATTTTTATGTTTGCACAGTGCTAAGTGTCGTGGTAAATGTCCGTACAAATCAAAATACTATTGCAATTGATGACTTATGAATATTATGACTTAAAAAAAAAATTAACTTTTTTTTAACTGAGTTAAGTTAATTTTATTTTCCATCTTAACTTTTAACTTAACTAGTTAAATTTTATTTTTTTGTTAACTTTTAACTTAACTGAAGGCAATTTGATTGAATTAACTTAACTTTCTACAGTTAATTATTTTCATTAACTTGCCCACCATTGCCTTGAAGCATCTGCTTGCGCATCGTGCTCTATACGTTCTCAGTATTAATTGTTGTATCATTGTACTCTGTTAAGTTATATAATAAAATATGTCTACCGTAGATTCTAACGACATCGTACTGCTGGAGTTAACGGAAGACGAAAAAGATGAAGAGGATGAAGAAGAGCTGAGATCTGCAAAGTTCAACATTCCAACTAAACTTTCGATACGGATTGGAACTTGACCGACGTTGAAAAGACACGAGTCTACGCCGAACGTGGCCACGACTTGTCATCAACCAGCCGCAGCAGGAGACTCCAAAGTCTATCACCAGTGTTTGTCCGCTCCGGCCGAGCTGCCCTGCAAGCCTTTTGAGCTTTCTGACGTGCTGACACAAAACGGATCCCCATTCAGTCCATCGGACCTCGAGATGTCCGTTCCAAAGGACGCAGGATCCAATGCGTCGGTGTAGGATAATGGTGCTCTGAGTTCGATGGATACACTGAAAGGAGTTAACACGTTATCGTGTACGTCCGTGCAGTTGGCGCCCGAACTACCAGCAACATCGCCCAAAATCCGGGAGACAAGCGAATTTGAAGACTTGTCCAGCGCAGAGTCGATGGTCCTCAGGGCCTAATATACATATAACTTTTAGAATGGTGGACTATCCGGAATGAGAAACAGTATTCAGTGACGGCAACGAGCAGGAGTTGGTCAGTGACCCGATAAATCCTAAACGGCGTCGCTCAATATTGAGCCGGACTAAGAAATTCGTCCGGCGCATGTTTTACTGCGCCGTTTAGAGGGTGACCGCAACCACTTAGTTGTTGAATGAAGCAATTCATTATTATTTATTACCGTAATAATTTGAAAACAATTTTTGTTCATGAACTTGATTTACATAAATAAACTTGCAGCTTTGTTATGCTACTTGTCTAGTTGGTTTTTAATTGAAATAGTATTATATATAATAATCAAACGCATAGCACACCCTAACATAAAAATAATTTATGTAGCTTGTGAAAATCGTAACAAATCTCTAACATCTATAATATTGTACCAAAAACATCCTTGAACAAAAGAAATACATTGTTGTATTAAAATTGATATTCAAATAGATTTTCAAATAATTAGGTTCTTTAGTTATATCTTATATTGCTTCAAATATGTTAGTACAAAGAAAAACTACGTTCTGAAATGAAATATGCAGAAAGTGTATAACTCGGATTGATACTTTATACAACACAATATTTGATCAGATTTGATTTATCTTATGCGTGAACACAGGTGCAATGTCAATTAAATTCGGTCTTTGGTTATAAGTGTTATAACTAGCTTATAAGCAGTGCTGGAGAGTTGCAGCATTCGCTAATTATTATTTATTTTTGGCTCTAGCAGATAGTGCCACTGAAACTCATATCAACATTATGTTCCAATTATCTCAAATATTAAATTTGAAAATTCCGTTCTTTTTTTTGTACTTGTATTATTTTAAAAAATGAGGGAAATATTTTATTCCTATGTTTTAAATTTATTGACCAGTTGTCCGGAACACATTATTATTATCATGTTTTGCGACAAAATCAGTCGCTCACAAAACTCAGACGACATTTGAACGATACTTTAATACGTGACTCGCGCTGTAAATATTATCACATTTTCTTATTCTTATATCTATAAATGTTCAGATGAATAGCAAAAATAGATCGGTAAACTATATAATATTACACAATACTAGAATTGAAATGTGATTTTACTATTTAATATATTATACACTTTATCACTTAGAAAGAATCTTTCTGGCAATGATGTAGGTATATAAAATCTAAATTTGAATTGTTAATTATTGTTAAACTTTAATTTAGATTAATAGGTATTGACTTATTGTTTACTACAATGATTTTATTCTTTTAAGTTTATGATTCTTATAAAATAAAATATATATTTTATTTCATTGTTATAAGAGTGTTTACATTTGTTTTAATTTTAAATTTATGTATAATTCAAGTTTTTGAAGTGTTTATAAGATGTGTTCGATTATTAGTATTATTACTATAGGTTTCTTTTAGTAAATATCTAAGGCTTAGATTCTAAGCTATAACTTATATCAATGAACACCAAATTGATATTACTACGTAACATTGCAATCACAACAAATTTAAGAATTAGGAGTAAGAGCCATGTATGTGTTCAAAATGCCTATAGAAGTATGCCTTAATAATAATTTGCCTTGTGAAAATATATATATATATTTTTTTAATTTAAGGCTTCAAATACATCATTTATTAGCCTACAAGGGTTTACAAAATTGGGTTACATTTTTTTTTATGATTTGTTTGATTGTGCTTGTGTGAAGTATAGTTGATCCATTGTTGTAAATGTTTGTTGTAAGATCGGCTATCATGATGAAGTCTAATATCCTTTTTTCTTCTCCATAGTTGAATGCTTCTTCGAGTGAGATTGTGTTTAAGTTTGATTTTGTTCGGGAGTTCTGGTAGTTGGGGCAATTCATTTTTATAATAATAAATTACGTATAACAATATTATAATAACTAATAACACACCTAATAAATCATTTTGTAGATTTAAGTAATAAACTAACAAGGTAATTAATATATTTCCCTCTTTGACTTGAGATTTTATATTACATGGCATATTAGTTTTTTTTTTTGGTTGTGGAAACCCACTAACCCGCCAATCTTTGTGTCACCAAACACTTGTTAGATACTACTTATTTCGGAAATTTGCAACTAAATACAATTTATATTAAACAGTAATTTATCCTTTGTCATTGAACGACAATAGTTTTGTAACGCTAACGAATTAGTGGAAAATAGGAAGTCACTTTGACATCCCCGAAATACGGTACTAACCATTCGGCCTTCAATAGCACGGACAACCGAAAACACTGAACATCAATTCCTTTATGATAGACATCCTTAGCGTATCTCACAACTTCAATTAACCAAATTAAACAGAACAAGGTGCGTTTCTCGTAAGTGGAATAATTTTACCTATTGATATAAATAACGGTCCGTTAGGTTTGACATTTTTTGACTTTTGTTTTTTTTCCTTTAGTCGTTTAAAACCTTAGTGAGGTACTAAGAAACGGACAGGTCAAAACAAGAATATCATATTTTAGAACTGTTACAATTTATAAAACTATGAGAGCATATTATTTCAAGGGCCACTGGTCAAGACATAATTATAGTTATTGAACGTTTTGATAGTAAATTAGACAAAATAATATTGTTTCTACGCAGCAATGTACCTATATTGCCTATACATTGCGCCGTTTTGCAAAGTCTGAACACAGTTGAGTTGATTCGTTCACCATAGAATTTTATAATGAGTAGCTATCGGTTAAGCACAGAACTATTTAAAGTATTAAAAATGTCAGTCAACAGTAAATAATTTTTTCTAGTAAAATTAAAACGGTGCACTTTTTTTTTTAAAATTATTTCACACTTCATAATAACAAATATTAAATTATTGATGAAGGCAGTGTATAAAATCTCAAAGAATATAGTTTTCTGATTTACAACTAAAATTGCAACTAAATTACCAAAAATCGATTTTGTAGTTTGTACTCTATGGTCTGAATACTGATATTTCTTAACAAATTTTGAAATTAAAAAAAAATGAAATGTTACACAAACTTACTTTTATATTTTATGTACCTAGGTATTATTTAATTATTACAGTGTAAAATGTTAAATTATACTTAAATAGTTAAATACAATCGTTTACATCATTTTTACGAAAAGTATAATACAGCTTAAAATATTTTTTCTTTAAATCACTTAAAAATTGTTCAGTACGGCTAATAAGTGTTATGTCGTTAAGTGAATAATTATAATTCCCTTTACTTAATTTGTTTCTACAGTAACAAATCAAATGCATCATCAAATAATGAACAAAATGTAGCTGTACCTTTTACGCCTGTTAGTAAATTCAAGTTTCCACAAAACACTAAATCATCACTGACACTTTTACTTAATGACTGTGCAGCTAGACGTACATTCATTATATTTTCACGAAATTTAATGTGGGAGATTTTATTTTCAATTCAATTTATTCGCAGCATAAACTCCTTTGCTTTCCTGAATGTTTTGTAAATTAACTATGTGCACAAATATTATGGCCATTACAATCTATTAATTTCTTTTTATCTCCTAACAAGCTTAAGTATATGAGCAGCATCCCAGAATACAAATATTTTTTCTTGTGGTTTTGAAGGATTATAGAACCAGGGTTGAAAATTGTCTGAATAATAATTGAAATTTGCTCCAAGTGATGTACACATAGCAAGATTTGGTGTTCCATCAATATTTGAATTGCATTTTGCACCAGTATTAGAAAATAATTCTAAACATTTTGAAAGTAAATTTGCCCTTTCACTGCCACAAAAACTTTTAAGTCTTAATTAAAAAATAACCTAGCGGTACCTTCTAACGGCCATTTACACAAACTGCTAAAAAGACTTTGTAGCTTCTTTTGCATTATACTGGTCTACTTTATTACCCGTGCCTAAGTCAACACAACCATAAAATTTGTTATTCATAAACGATACCTGCTTCCGTATAGCCATTTCATCTATTACTAGGTATATTACAAATAATTGGTCCATTAGAATTTAGAACATGCAAGGTTATTGTTTGGAAAGCTTCACTCGTGAACCCAGGTTCACCATTTACTACGCAATAGTGCTATACCACTTACGTATGGTTGCAGGGTGTGGCAATAAATGTTGAAAGGTTTTCCTCACAAAAGAGTAAGCTTTTGAAGAATAAAATTGTAGTGTGAGAGCAAAACCACGTATAGCTGGGCTATACTTTGAATTCTTTGCTTTTAAATTTCTATATAGTTTCTTTAACAGAATCATTTGTTGTATCCTAGTATCCTACATAACATAAAACACAAATAAAAAAAAATAGTATATATTATTTAAAAACATTAAATGACAATGAACTAGGATTGTTTAACTTTGATATATATTTTATAAAGCAGTGTTTTTTTAACCTTTTTGATATCATGGACGGCATGATGGACATATGCGTGTTCAAACATTTGCATATTTAACTATTTAAGTCGTTTGAGAACTAAACTGCATTCGTTCCCAAGGAACAAGATGTGTAAATTAAGGTTTTATTATCTATGGATATCTTTGGCGTATATGTTATTTTAATTGTTTACCCACTTTTTTTTTGTATCATACAACCACAATTAGGTGATAAACAAACAAATGGTGATAAATCATAATTAGATAAATAAAAAATAAATAATGAAATATAAAAAAAGAAATAAAAATATAAAAATGCATTAATTGGTTTGGCAGTTTACCCACTGAAATCCGTTGTATGCAATCAGAAATAGGGGACAACATTTGTTGGAAATTCATATTAGAAAGAATAATGACGAATATGAGAGTATTTTTTTATAATTTTATTAGAAAATATACAATCTATACCCAAAGGCATAATAAGAATATGTGCTACATTATATTAAAAAAAAACATGAATAGGGTGAGGGAAGAAACCATCCAGTGATCACACTTCCTTTTGCTTAAATATATGTGTAACTACTTATATTTTTTTTTAATTATTATTATCAAATTTTTTTTTTCTCATTATTCATTAAGAAGATCTCTGCACCAGTTTCTTTTTAAACGCCGCGGAGGGTTTCCAGGAATTGTGTGAGTGGCTAGGCCGGATATCAGAGGATTTGAGTGACCAGACAGTTTGTTGAAAAAACGTTTGTAATACGTTTTAGCTTCTTCGTGTATAGTTTTCATTTTTAAGTCGGTGTGGAGAGTAAAATTAGAGATATAAGAGGGGGGGGGCATTGGTGATGGAACGTAAGATTTTATTTTGAACGGTTTGTATTTTGTTGAGATTGGATTTTTTGGCATTACCCCACAGTTGGAGGCCATATGTCCACATAGGCTTAATTAAGGATTTATAAATAAGCAATTTGATACTTAATTTAGTATGTTTGTTAGTTAATAGTGTTTTGAGCAACCGGATACGTACATTTAAGGCGAGTTTTTTCCCCCATACATGTTGCGTCGATCAATAGTTAATCCTAGATACTTAACAGATTGAAATGAAGGTATAGGTATGTCGGATAAGGAAACTTCAGGACAGGGAGGAAGGCGAAGAGTAAAAGTAGTGTGGAGTGATTTAGATTGATTTACTTTAACTCTCCAATTATCGTACCAGTTAGACAATAGGTTAAGGTGATGTTGAAGGTTCAGGAAAGCAACTGTGCTTCAGTAGGTGTAGCCTCCCAAGCTGCTGATTGGATTACGTTTGTTAACTTATTTATTGCATCATCGATTTATTAAGGTGATTTGAGACTCACTTTCATATCTATATTTTGATCAACTAGACCTATCTGTATTCGGATGAAATAGTTTAGGTGGTGAAGAGCGGATTGGTGGTGAAGCACTGACTGTTAAAAGTACGGCTGAGTGATCCGAGGTGGGTTCAAGAAGATTTCCAGTCATGAGGAATAAGTTTGATGGTGTATTGGAGACAAAGATATCTAGTAAATCAGGCTTTTTACGCAGGGAAGTAGGAAAGTATGTTGGTCCTGGTGGAGCTAGAATATTGTAACCCATGGCTTAAATATACAAGGTTATTGCAATAGTACCCCTACTATATCATTTTTTCACGTTAAGGAATTAAAATGGCAGCGTAAGGGGACGACGTATACTGGCTATATTATGATATTATATGCTATGATATGGACCGTACCCTTACGCTGCCATTTTATTTTATTTGATAACAATATTGGCTAAATGCAATAACCTTGTATATTTAAGCCATGTTGTAGCCCTTCAGATTTGTATAATTATAAAGTACCAAACCTCTGGGGTTATTTGTACGACAGCCCCAGCTAATATGCTTAGCATTATAATCACCCCCTATTATAAAATAATGACTGAGAATAACGAAAATTTTTCAAAAAGGGGGGCTAAAGCCCCTTCTAATTTGGGTAAGCACCTGGTTGCACCCCCTGCGTTAAAGGCTTGGACTCGCCTATGATCATGGAACACCAAATAGGAACACTGTTATAAATAGCTAAAATAAAATAAAAAGTAAAATTGTAATAAAACAGTAAACAATTATCAAAATTACTCCATTTTACAGTATCAAGTAAAAACCTAGTCAAACATTACCAAAATATTGTCATGGGCCTCTTAAAAGGTTTTTTTGTTTTAAATGACCCATTAGTAATTTTAATGATGATAACTTTTTTTGTAATCTCCTAACTTTCTGGTTGAGCATTTTAATTTTATTTTGTTGTATTTTAATTTGAGTTTTAGCTAAATTCCAACTTTTTCTAGATCTTTGAGGTGTAGCAAAATCAGGTGTTTTTAATTCACCCTCAAAACGTTTTTCTTTTTTTGGAGTTTCTGCAACAACAAAAATATAATTATTATTTATAAATAACATAATAATTAACTTTATGATTTACCTTGCAGTTCAGGAGTAGACGGAAGACTTAAAACTGTTTGAGTTGTTGATTCATTATTTTCGGAACTAACATTCACAGTTTCAGATGTCGGTGGCTGAACAGTCAATTCATCATTTTTTAATGCCAAATCTATTGTTTTGTCTTCAGATCTATTTAATATAAATAATATATGCTTAAAAATAATATAAAAATTAATCTAAATAAAGAGTAGATACTGTTGAAAAAATGGTCGTATGATTTTCCCTTTTAATTTCTTTGTAGGAATCGCATCTAATTTTAATCGAAAACCTGATTTGTTGTAACATGCTTCATCAAAATGCCTGGAACATAACTTTCGATATGGCAAATACTCATCAGCTTCTAACCCACAAGCATTCAACCACACATTTCTTTTCTCTTCACTTGTTGGAAATCTATAAATTGAAATATGTTTTAATGAATTAGTTTCAAACAATTGATTAATAAAATAAACAGTGTATCAACTTATTCTACACTACTAAATATATGCAAATAAATAAGCTATTAACATATGTTATACCATAAAATAGTAATTACTATTTACTAATAATAATAAGTAGGTAGCTATCTGGGCCCTGCAGTAATAAAAGTAAAACTAAATAATATTACTAAAGCATGCTTACTGATGCAATGTAAGACCAGGTACTTTAATGGGCGATCTTAGACATAAAATACAACATTTGTGATTCTTGCCAAGTTTATTCATTTTTCCCATTTTATTAATTTTCAGTCTTAGTAAAGGAACTCAATTTGAACACTCAAATTCTCAATGGAAAATAGAAATTAAAAAATGTATAATGATTATTATCAGTTAGTGCTTCACGAGGGTTATATCTTATAATATTATTTTCTATTTTGTGTATTCATCAGTAATCTTTTATCATAAAACAGTTTTGTTCATGCGCAGTGATGACTTCGGGCACGAGCAGCAGCTATGCTTCAAGATTTTAAACCATAGCTCTATCCAGTGTATATTATGATCTAAGTATATCCCACAGATATATATCATAACTAGATACCCGACTTCTTCTTATCAATGACGCTGGCAGCCATTTACAACTATGGCAATGTTTACAATGATAACAATAGTTCATATCAAACAAGTCTGTTGCCCAACTTACTGACTACTGAGTACTGACCCTTTTTCGACGATTATTGTAGGTATTTGACATTTGTATAATATTATTAATTTAAGATGGTGATGTCATGTTGTGTACATTTTTGCACGAATCGACATTCAACAAATGGAGTTAGGTTAATCCCTTAATATTTCTAAGTAAGATGAAAAAATTATTCATTACTGTAATAATAAATTTTCTCTGGATCAAACTATATTAAAAGAATTAGATTGCACTAATATAAGTATTTTGGAAAGACCTCATAAGATGATAATTATTAGTTTATTAACAAAAAAGTACCTGAGTGTTAGGCTTAAATCATTGGGAAAAACCACTTCAAACATTTTTGCAGTTAGTAAACGTCAAAAACTGACAAAATTGATTTTGTTTGCTAATCAGTTATTATTACCACATTTTGAAATAGGCAGCTTACAGTCAATTCCATTATTCATATTCAATGATTCTTTGATTTAAACTTATATTTTTAGGCTTACAGTAAATCGTACAATGTAAAATGAGTTGAACTTAACTGGTTCATCCATCAATTATGGTATAATTATGTATAACTGTATAAGAATACTTGTAATAATATTAATTTTATTAAAAAATAATTATATTATGAGTATATTGTTATGAAATATTTGTATCAATTGTATCACAATGTATGATATCAAAACGATTAAAAAATGATAAAAATTTGTAAACATTGCCATAGTCACAAATGGCGTAGGGCATCATAATTTAATAACGTTGTGGTATATGGAGTCGGGTATCTAGTTATTATATATATCTGTGGTATATCCCCCATGCTTATAATCATTGACCAATGCTATTGGCAATAGAAAGTGATAAGCCGAAGTGGTGCCGCGGTTGTGTGTACAACTATATATACATAGACATATAAATATTTTCATATACCTGTGGTGGTTATTCTGTGCCGTAATCAGTATAAAAAATTTTCATTATCATACGTATTCATACTTTCGTCACTCGTAAGTCACGAAAACATTTTATTTATTTTGATTTTGCTGATACGTAAAAAGCAATAATTTATTATTTTAATAGAAATGGTTTCAAAACACTTAAGAAATAGTTGATGAATGATCAAAAATATTGTTAGTTAACTATAGCAGGCTCTTGCGTGTGTTTACTATCTTCTGCTTCAAGGTTTGTATATTGTATTCATTTGTTTAAAAAAAAGACAAAAACTAAAATTAGGTCTTTGCGAAAAGTGAAACGCAATAATTTTGTTTAACTCGGTCAAAAGTTAATTTCTTATCATGTATGTTTAGGTATTATAGTCGAAATATCCGTACGTAATTTATTTCATTTTTCTCGTGAAATATTTTATGTTTATTCCTAATTAGTCTGGAATAATCTATTAAATTAAATTCTTCCTGTATTGTTTTCAAGTTATTTAGAATACTATTATAAGTAACTGTTTGCCTCCTCCCTACACAAAGGTGCACGGTTATGCTGCAATCGTGTTTAAAAATGAAGTCGGGCAACAATGCAAAACGAATAGTTTATGTGTTAGCCAATAGGGCTTACTCCAGGAAATCTCGACGTGACAGGGAAATCAGAGGAGAAGAGTTATTAGAACAGGAAGATGAGCTTGTTATGGTAAGTAATATCATTTTTATTATCTATTTTATAAATAATAATTTGTCAAAAGTACAAATCTGTAACAAATTAAATTATTTGTAATTTTTACAAGTGAATAGGTACACTAAAAAAATAAATATATTTAACTTATAATAACAACTATAATTATTATTTTTATTATGTTGTACTGCGATAATGTAAATCCTTATACATTCGAAAATAATTTTTTTCCTGTAGGTAATTATTATTCATTTAATATTTTATTATAGGTTCCTTAACATTATAATTGTTATTAAAATGAATATTTTTCATCTTAAAATATATTTTTAAATTGCTTTTTAAAGTTTATGTAAATGGTTATCTACGTACCTATTATTTGAATGCAATTAACAAATTATAATGTTCATATGATAGAAAATTGAAGATTCTGAATTCCGAACAAATCCTAACTGGCAATTGCTACCAAGACATAAAGATAGCCAGTTCAAATTACCTAATAATGTGGGTATCGCTCCTGAGGTAAGTTGGTTTTTATTAAAATATATATCTAATATTTTTTTTAAATAATTATATGAAAACACAGTTCAAGTAATTTTACTCTTGGTAACTACATAATATAAATTCTACAAAAATAAGATAATATAGATTTACCTTTATAGGCAGACGCTAACGGCCGACCTGAATTTCAGGTGGTGCCTATAGCTACATTTTTGAGCTCTCTTCTTTATTAATGTCCTCTCTTATAACAACTCAATAATGCTAATTATACATGCTTAGTATCATGTTTTATATAATAGTGTATACTGTATAATACTTAATCTAATAATAGTAATAACAGTTTATAATAAAAATCTATAATGACAGATGCCTGACCGGACGGTACTTGAATTATTATTACTATATATTTTAAACCACCCTATATTTTTATTTTAAAGATTAATGATCCTTAACAATATGTATCAAAGGTTTACATAAATATTTTTAGTATTTATTTATAAAACATGTTTGGTTTATCACTCCTGCCTCGGTCTTAGTCTATTATTTTATACTAAGTCATATAGTCTTTGGCGTTTGAGACACAGTATGTCTTGAGAGTTATAGAATAGTTGAATTGCTGCTAGATTGGTGTATTGATCCAGTCTTATCTTGTGTTTGCTGGCAAGCTTAGTAACCTTGTTCTTGATGGAGATATTCATCAAATCTCAGTGGATAATGTAATTTTGGTTGTGCTGGTATGCTGCGACCATAGTACGGAGGGCAATGTTTTGGCACTATTAAACAGTTTCAATGTTGGAGTTACTGGCACCACCTCACACTTTTGGAGTTATGAATAGGGCTTGAATTATTGAATTTGTTTATTAAATTGCTTACAATAATTAAGTAATATTTGAGTTATTTAAAAAAAAATTAAGTGTCATCTACCTTAAAATTTTTGTCTGATGAATTTAAAATTTTTTTAGCTACTTTCTGTTATTTCTGCTTTTATGTTTTGTCGACAAGTTTTAAGAAAACAATAAAATATAAGTTAAATCTGACAGTTAAGTAATATTAATTGTATTTTTACATCATGTAGGTAACTAGTTTATGAACAACATTTTCATATGATATTCAATGAATAAAAAAATGTCTTCATATTTTAGTTTCATAAATGTCTTTCTTTTATGGTGTTTTATAGGCTATTTAGGCAATAACCACTTACTTCCATCGATTTCTATCCTTAGCTAGTTCTCCTCTATTATCTTTTCTAAATGCTACCGTCACTACCTCAAAGTCCTTTGACACAATGTCTTTAAATTTCACTTTCTACTTTGATCCTTGAATACACCCTCAGAGTACTCTTATACACTTTTCAGGTATATCTATTTCACGCATTGCATTCCAGAGTTTGTTTATATTAACAGAATCGTAGGCAGCTTTGAAATATATAAATAGGAGATGTATATCCTTGTCAAATGTGTTACTTTTTTCTGTTATTTTTTTAATGGTGGGTATCTGGTCCAAGGTTAAACTACTGCCATAAACCCTATTTGGTAATCTCTAATAATGTTGTATGTATAACTATATAAGGTTTTATTTTATCAAGTAGAATGTTAGATAGATTATTAACATTATATATTAACATAATACAATGAATTTAATAGTGAGATTCTTCCGTATATTTTATAATTCATAGGATCATAGGTCTATATTCTCTCTAACTTGTTTTTTCAGTCAAACTATTTATTTAAATATTAGTGTATACCTATTATTAATATAATTTAATAATATTATTTTTGTTAGAAAATATAAATCTTCTTACTCCATTTTTTATGGGCAGTATTCCTAAACCTTAAATATTAAAATTATTTTTTCAATTGTTATAGGGGGTTTGGAAAAGTATTTTGTTGGCAAAATCCTCCCTCCTACCGATTTATGCCAATACCTATAATATAGGTTATGTTTTGTAATTTTATACGATCTTATATTAAATTAAAACATTGTTTACAGGACTGCATCATAACCACAAGACTAAATTATTACACTCAAGACTGCCCAATTCTCTTAAAATCTGGTATGTAGTGTATTATGTACTTTGTTTCCTTGAATTGAGTTGCTTAATTATTATTATTATTGTTTTTATTTACTTAGAAATCACAGAGCGATTCAATGTACCTCATTTGAAAAATTTCAGTCTGTGCATGATTACTATCAATTTAAAGCAAACATCTACTACAACCATGTCAAATTTAACAAGACAGGTAAACACAAAATAATACATTTTTGAGATTTCTTTTCTTTTTCAAATAAATACCTAATCAAAATATATTTTTTATTAATTTCTAGTATCTACATGCTGCTTTTGGTATAAGTGATCGTCTTCAAAGTGCTGGTTATTGGGCTGATTTCATACATCCTTATACTGGACTTCCAGCCATTAATCCAGGACTTAATATTGATTTTTCCACTCTAGAATTACCATACAAACATACTGTTTATCAAGTCAATACACGCCGAAAGTGCAAAATGATTGTAGAAAAAATGTCTCCTAATACTATTGGTAAGCAACGAAGAGTTTTTCTTATTACTAAAATAAAATGAATAATGATACCAAGGATGATACATATACCTATTGGTAGAAGTTATGTATGTTAACTATTTTCAAAACTGTTGCCATAACAGTAATTGTCTTAAATACCATGTATTAACACTTGATAAATGTATACATCTATACTTTGTTCAAAGTAAGACGATGACTAGGGAGCGACCAGTTTTTGTCAGGCGCATTAATAGACACTTCCCCTACCAAATCCATGCTCAAGACCAGTGCTTTGGAACAAATGCACACCCATGCACACAACTCGGCCGCCTGGTCATTGTCTTATTTTGAACAGAGTATATTGTTTTGGTTAAATTAAAAATTGATGATTTTCAACAATTCGTTCGTGCAAATCTAGGTTTAATCATTTCATTTTCTATGCAGATTTTACTTTTCAAACTTCAAAATATTTTATTAAAATTTACATATGTTTTGTTGATAACTGAAACTTGTAAATTTAAAATGAAAAGGCTGTTTTACTACATTATTTTTTTAATACTTGACCTAAATTAATAAACCTAATTAACTAAACAGTGTCCTAAGCTCCTAAACCTAACAAATTTGTATGATCATATTCTGATGATATTAATCTTAACAATGAATAACTAATTATATAGTAAGAACAGATACAGATCTTGGGGTTGTTATAATTATAATTTACAGTAGATAATAACTTTTTGGTAGGTAATATACGACACTAACAGTGTGGCAATATGAAGCATATATAACGAGTAGGTCGCATATAACTATATAAGTAAAAATACAGTAAATATAATTTGGGATATTAATTGTTATATTTTATATATATTTAAAAATAATTCTTATTTAAATAATCATTTCCACTTTATTTATTATTAGAAAAGTTTTATTTTCTTTGGTCTATTCTTGAAAATTATATTACAAATGCACTTATATCAAAGCATACAACAGTTTTTTTAAATAAATGTTTCTACAATGATATTGGTTTCAATGGAAGTAGCCACTTATAATGAGATGCTATACATTGAGTTATTCTATATTAACAATTTTAAATAAAATTAAATATTACCTAAATAGATTTATTCTATGTTGGTTTATGGTATTT